GGTATCGTGGCACCGGAGGCTCGAACCATATGAGATTTACTAGGGGGCGTGGCCTCGAGGACGCGAATATTCCACCATTTGCAGAAATCGTGGCCTCGGGCACGCAAGTATTGCATAATTCCCGAAGGGGGTATCGGCTCGGGGACGCGAGCATAGCGCAATTTGCTCGGATGTGTGGCTTCGGGGGGCGCAAGCATTATACAATGTACTAGGGATCACGGCCTCGAGGACGCGACTGCAATGCAATTTAAATAGTGTATGGTTTCGGGTGAAGCTGACAGTGTATCATTCACGATGGAGTACGACCTCGAGGACGCAAACAGTGATTCAATCGCGATGGGATATGGCCGCGGAAACGCGAGCATCGCGGAATAGATTGTTGTTTCTGGCTTCGGGCGCGCAAGTATCGCATAATTCGCGAAAGGGTTATGGCGTCGGTGCCGCGAATGTTGCATACCTTACGAGGGTTTATGGCCTCGGGCACGCGGATTTAGCGCATGTTACATGTGAGTCTTGCCATGAGGACGCGAACATTGCGTACTATGTTGGGGGTCATGGCTCCCAGGACACAGATCTAGCATTGTTTACAAGGGGTCGTGACCTCGCGGGCGCGACTATTGTGCAAATTGAAAGGATTATGGCTTCGTGGACGCGAGTGTGGTGTAATATTGAAAACTGTAGATGGAGTCGGGGACACAAGCGCGGTGTAATTTGGAAGGGGCTCTGGCTTCGTGAACGCGAATATCGTGACATGTTCGAGGGTGTACGGCTTCGGGCGCGCGAACACCGTGACTATCGCGTAATATGCAGGGGCGCATGTCCTCGGGAGCGCGATTCTCACGTCTTCTGACCTGTCCCACGACCCCACCGCAGATGAGTTGAGACCCCCCGGGGGTGCGCGGCATAGGCTCACTTGGGGGCCCCCACCTTCGCGCGGATTTCCACAGTCTACAGTCGGGAGCAGAAAGTCGAACCAGCACCACGGAAACTGGAAACGGCAAGCCTGATCCACGCAGCTTGGTGGCCCCACGGGGGGGGGGGGCGGGTGTCCGCGGGAAGCCTTCAGATTCAATCTTTTTCCCCCTCCCCCTTTTTCCCCCATTCAACCATCCACTCCTCTTGCCCGTCGGAAAGAATTCATTTTGAGCTTCCATGGGCCCCTAGAACCCGTCCGTGTTGATTTTCCGGAAACGCCCCCCCCCCCCCGAATATTCTCCATCATTATTCTCCCCATCTTCCCGTTCGCCCTCCTCCTCTTCCTTCTCCTCTTCCTTCCTTCTGCTCCTCCTCCTCCTCCTCCTCCTCCTCCTCGTCCTCGTCCTCGTCCTCCTTCTCCTACATGTCCTGCATGTCTTGCCTCCGTGCCTCTCCGAAACCTCTTGGAACCTCGGCGGGGCAACCAGAACGCCCAACAACATTCGAAACCTTCGGAAATCTATGCCCCCGCCTTCTCATTCTCCTCCACCTGTTCCTCCTCCTCCACCTCCTCGTCCTGCTCCTCCTCCTCCTTTTCCTCCTCCTCCTCCTCTACCTCCTCCTCCATACTTGTTCCTTCGGAATAACTCCTCCCTGTCGCACCCCGAGGCCAGTCGGAAAGGCGGGCCGGGCGTTTCGCCTGGCATTTCTTTACCATTTCTGGGCTTGAAATTAAAAAAACGAACAACAGCGTCAGATGAAGGGCGGTTCCTTTTCAACATGTGGCTTTCGCCGCAGCGCCACGCACATTCGTTCTAAAAATGTCACGTTTCACGGATTGATAGCGGCTCGTGTTCGAAATGTGGTTTGTCGCCGTAGCGCCGCGCAGATTCGTTTAAAACAGTTGCAAGAGTTTCACGGGTGGAGGGCGGTTCGTTTTCAACATGTGGTTCTCGCCTTAACGCCGCGCAAATTCGTTTTAAACATTTGCAAGGCCTTGGCGGACTGAGGGCGAATCGTTTTCACAATGCGGCTCTCACCTTCGCGCCGCGCACATGCGTTTTAACAAGTTGCAAGAGTTTCACTGATTGAGGGCGGTTCCTTTTCAGTATGTGGTTCCCGCCTTAGCGCCGCGCACCTTCGTTTAATAAGTACGCAAGGGTTCCATTGATTAGCATGGTTAACCTTCCAGAAACCGTGTTTTGGAACGACTCGAGATTGCCAGGGCGCAACAGTTACGTTGATTCGTGGTATTGAAGTCCCAGGAACGGTGTTCTGCACAATCTGGGATCGCCAAGGCGCAACAGTCAGGCTGATTCGTAGCATTGGAGTCCTGGGAAGTGTGCTTCGGCGCGCGTCGAGAGTTTCACACGGTTGTCCCCCAGCGGGGCAGTTTCTTCCGTGGAAATGAACTTTTGTTGGGGTTTATGGAGAGGGAGCGTGGGGGGAGGGTGTATTCCAACATCGTTGATGAGCCGTGGGTTTACACGGGCTTTCCTGATCATCACCAGTTCCTTCCTCCCTCCCCCCTCATCATCATCCTCATCCGTAGCAATTTTGGCTCAAGTCCATGGCTTCCCCTGGGAGCCAAGCGGATACTTCTGATCCGGGGTTGGGCCATTGTTTCTTTCACCACTCACGCTCACTGTGGCGAGCGGCCCCACCACCACAGGCTTCTATCTCTCCCACCTCGGCTTCTCTACATCCGCGGCAGCGGGTAAATTAAGGCCTTTTCCAGTGGACCTTGCGCTCCGCAGTGCCCTCGAGGAGGCCCCACCACTCGGAGGAGGAGGAGGAGGGGGATCGCCCCAGGACTCGGGCCGCGGCAAGGGCAAGGGTGGAGTCCGTGGTGCCAGCAGCCCTCGCAGACGTCGTGCTGGCCTTCACGCTGGTGACGGCCGTGCTGACGACCTCGATGAAGAGCCTCTGCTCGGATCAGTCACTGCGCCGAGTCCGCCGGGAGGGGTTCGACCGCATCAGGGCCCAGCTCTCCTCCGAGCTCGGCGCGACCTGCGCCGCCATCGCCGCCTCCCAAAACCGGAGCGTCCCCGCCACCCACGCGGCCCTGCGCGGCCAGGTGGCTGCCCGAGCGGCTGCCGTGGACGTTAGGATCCGGGCCAGCGTCCAGCCCAGAGTCGACGAGTTCCCTGGGGTCCAATGAAGGGGCCCCAGGACACACAAAGAAATACACAGAAATAAAAATATTCCCCCTACTTTTCCCATATTTTCTGGGTTTTTGTCGTCCCCCCCACTTCCCATATTTTCCAATATTTTCTGGGGAATCGACGATTAATTGTGTCTGTGTGTTTTTCCCCTCCTGATCCAAGCGCAGATAGACCGCCACAGCTCGCGATTTGAGGAGCAGAGCCGTCGCATTGACTCCTTCGGTGCCGGGAGCAACCGCATGCGCCGCGAGATGGCCGAGTTTACCGAGTGCAAACTGCTGCTGGCTGCCGCCGGGGATCGTCTTGTGCAGCCAGGTGCGGCCCCGAACGGTCTCGATCAATTCCCCGGTCTGTCTATACGTCTGGCTGTCGCCCAACGGCCTACCACGTCCGAGAACATCAAGAATGCGGTCGTTCCTTGGCTCACTGCGATTGGCTCCGACGAGGCTGAGTACACAGTGGAAGCCCGTGGTCAGGCGCCATAGCTGCGGTTCGTTGCCAAGTTCACGGGTGTGGTGGCCCCTGTTTGTCGCAAAGTTCAGTGCGCTCTCTCCAACTTGAAGCAGGGCGACGCCTGGCGCGAGTTCACATCGGATGCTCCTGGTGGCCAGCCCTGTCATGTTCACGCGGGCCCAGTCAAGAGTCCTAGGCAGATCAAGGTGGAGGTCACCCTTCGTCGTTGCAAACAGCTTTCTCTGAGGAATATGGCCCTGGCACGTGCTCCTACATGGGACGTGATCGCGGCATCCTCTCGACCGGCTGGGACAAGGTCATGCGGGCGGAGGTGCATCTTGGCAACCCACATGTTGCTCTTATGTGGGACTCTGACAAAATCGCCAAGACAGGGCTCAACAAACAGAGGTTCTTTCAGGTTGCGCGCGACATTGTCACTCCAGCGGACGAGCCCAATTGGTGCCTTTAGTGTTGCGCAGCTTCTCAGGGACGCGTTGCCGCCCTCTTGAACCTTGCATGTTGGAGCTCTGGGGCTCTCCAGGCGGCGGGCGACAAGGCTGCTCTCAAGAGGAAGTACTGGCTGCAGCTGAAGCCTCTTGATACTACCATCGGCCTAATCAAGACCAGACCCAGCTTACCGCTTTCGTGCGCACGGTTTGCATATTCTCCACGGTAGTCCCCATCTTCATTTGGTGACGACCCTAGTGTGACCGACCGTGTTGGCAGGATTCGCGGTGGCGTCGTTGTTCGCGTTCCTCCCCTCCTCTGTAGTTGGAGACCCTGTCCAAGTGGAACGAGTGGCTCTTGTACATGCGCGTGCTCTTCGGGCTATTACTATTGCGTCGATGTGGGGGGGGGGAGCGTTGCGCGCCCAATGTAGAAAAAAATGTTGCAGGCACGGCCACGCAGCGCCGACCAGCGAAGGCGCAAAGAGAAAGAGAGAGAAGGAGACTGTACAACGCGGTGACAGGGATGGCAGCAAGGGCGGCTCCGCAGGTGGCGAGCGGCAGGGTAAAAAAGCACACACACAATTCTTCGCGTCGCGGCCGCGTGCGCGGCGGCGCGGCGTAAAAGCACACACACAATAAAAAACACCAAAAGGACAACAAAAATGGGAAACACAAGACAACGACCCACACACACACACACACACACACACACACACACACACACACCGATCTATATATCTATCTATATATATCTATCTATCTATCTATCTATCTATCTATCTATCTATCTATCTATCTATCTATCTATATATCTATACATATATAGCTAGATAGATAGATAGATATACAGATAGATAGATAGGTAGATAGATAGATAGATAGATAGATAGATGAACCTACATATATACCCACGCATAAACAGATACGCATACCAAAACAGTTAAATCTAACAACAAACTCCCCGATGGTCCTCCCCCTGTTCCTCCTCCTTGGCCCGCCCAAGCGCGCCCATGGCGAGGCGCGGCAGACCGCCGAACCCTACTGGCAGCAGTTCTACGAGCGGAGGGGCTTCGCCATTCTCCCGGCCCCCCTAAGGGCGACGGCGACGACCACCACCACCACCCCCACCACCACAACCACGACGACCACGGCGACCACGACGGCAACGACGACCACAGGGGCTGCGACGATCACGGCGAGGGATGCGATGACGGCGACAAAGGCGGCGGCGACGACGGTGGCGTCGACACGGAATTTTAAGGAGGAGGAGGAGGAGGAGTAGGAGGATATGCTTTGGAGGCGCCAGAGGCTTCGATGAATTCTAGGGGGCTGTATTCGGTTATGTAGTCCATCCAGCCACCGAGCTGGGTCGTCGACAAGATGCCTTATTGAAGCCTCTTGTGGTCTCTTGGGAGGTTTCTTGGGAGCATTTTGGAGACCACTTCAGGGCCTCTTGGGTCCTGCGGGTCTTTGGATTGCGGGGATATTAGGGACCTCTATAGTTCCTTTGGGGCCTGTTGTGGCCGCCTGGCGGTCACAGAAGCCATCTTGGGGTGAAAGGCTCCAAATGTTAGCTCGAGTTCCCCCTCCCCTCTTGGGGGCGTATTGGAAACCTCCTGTTGCCGAGCTGAATGTGCCCTCAACGTGTCTTTCGGCGCCCATCTTCCTCCTCCTCCTCCTCCTCATCCTCATCCTCCTTATCCTCCTCTTCCTCTTTAGACGCTGCCTGCCCCTTGGTGTCAACCCTACGCCAAAGTCGTTCTGGAGATGTGTCACGCGTGCCGTTTGCACGCCTGGCGCTATCATACATCATTCGGGTTTTCTTTTTGTTTGATAATGCTGTTGAATGTGTTTTCCCATTTGGTCTGGCCCGAAGGTTTTCAAGGTGGCCAAAGAGGTCCCCAAGAGTGCATCAGCACGGGCCCGTGAGACCATTTCAGAACATGTTCGAAGTTTTCACCCCCAAACGCGCCCCCAAGGCCGGGGAAAAAGTCACGCGACGCACCAAAGCGTCCTGGGCAGTTGGGTCTGGGCCCCTGAGAGAGCATTTGCAGTTTTCAATTCAGAGCATTCGAAGAGGCATGAGGTCATTCCGCCCAATGCTCCGCGACACGGTCGCGCATCTGACGAGCAGGAGGAATACAGTGATGAAGCAGGAGGACGAGGCAGAGGAGGGCGGCCTTAGCGACATCCAGGAGGAACGGGGGGGACAGCCTAGTCTCTTGCTTCCTTGACTTCGAGGTTCCCACCATCTGCGCGCACCAGGGCAGGCCGGTCGCCGCAGTCTTCGCGGACGAGGCGGAGGCTTTTGATAGCCAAGACCGCACGGAAGCGATGGTTGCGATATACGATCGCGCGGGCGTGGCTGGCCGGCAGTGGCTCATGGCTGAAGACTTGCTCCGGGGCGCGACCGTCTCGGTCACTGGGCGGCACTGCACGCGGCCGTTTCGCTCGCAGGTTGGTATGTTCGAGGGTAGGAAGCTCAGTCCAGCCCAGTACAGCCTCGCCAACGCTGCCAAGATCGAGGAGATCGCTGCCACGCCAGGCGTGGGCAGCTTACCGAGCGCACCGGGACGGCTCGGACGCCGAGACCTTGGATGTCGGCGAGATCCACCAGTGGGCGGCCCTCCTGGCGGACGGGCAGGCGGACTGGGGTGACTGCATGGCGGCGGCGTCCTCGGATGCCGTCCGCCAGGGCCTGCTCGGTTTCATCTCCGAAAAGACGATCAGGCCGCGCGCGTTCGTCGACGACGTGCGCGCCCCAGCCGGTTGGGCGCAGCGCGGGCTGGTGGTCCGCACCCTGCAGGAGGCTGCACGCCGCCACCAGAGGCACCTCAAGTATGGCCCGACGAAGACAGCCTACCAGACACCCGCGCCGTGAACGGTGTCGGATTCGTGGACGTGCACAAGTGCCTCGGCGCCCACCGGTCCAATGGGCCCCCCAGCCAAGCGCACCTTCGAGCCATCGAACAGCAGGCCCTCGCGGTGGGCCGGCGGCACACCCAGACAATGACCCACCTTGGGTTTGCGCTCAACGAGCTGAGCCTGGGCCTCACTGCGAGCACGCTCCCCAAGCTGGCGCACGGGGCAGACGTCTGCATCAAATCGAAAGGCTTCGAGGCGACGCTGAACCGCCTGCAGGAGCGGTGGGCCCAAGTCGCCCGTGGAGTGCGTGGCCCCATCCCGCGGGCCCTCCTGCACCACGTGGGATGGACCGCCCAGTGGGCCACGACGATGCAGGAGCGCGCCATCCGGCTCTACAGCCGGATCCAGGCGGACCCCCTGGCACGCCGAGGCCAAGCGTGTCCTCGCGCTGGCGGAGCAAGCGGAGGGCTCCTGGATTCGGCATACCCGCCAGCCCCTGCACCGGCGGGGCCTCGCCAAGGCCGCGGCGCACCAGCAGGGCCAGACCTGGTGGGCGAGCCCAGTACAGCGCGAGGCGCTGGCGCTCGGGCCGGGCGTGGCCAGCACGGCGCTCGAGCACAGCATCGCCGGCGCTACGCTTCCGGATCGCGCGCCTGGGCCCGCTTGTGCCTGCAGGCCGCATTCTCCTGCGACGAGGCGGGCGCCGTCGGGCGTTGCCGCTTCTGCGGCCGGTCGCAGGAGACGGCGGTCCACTTCGTCGGCTTCTGCGGGGGCGCCGCGCAGGCGCTCCGACGACAGCCCCAGCCGCACGGCCGCGCCCCCCTGCGGCCCGCGGCCAGCCGCCCACCCTGGCTGCCGGGCTCACGCCGCAGGAGGCGCGCCGCCTTGAGGCCGCGCTGCAGGCGCAGTAGGCCGTGCCGGAGCGGATAGGCGCAGCCCCCCCGACACCCCCGCGCTACCCTTGGCTTTGGCCCCGCCGGGCGCCCCGTCCCAGTGGCCCCGTGCCCCATGGCCTCCCTTGGGGCCTTGTGCCTTCGCCGCCCCTCCTGCCCTGGCCCTCCGGATTCCCCCCCGCCCCCCGCGCGTGCCTTGCTGCCCTACTTGCTCCCCCCCTACCCCCCTGCTATACCCCCCTGCCCTTGCCTTTGCAAGCCCTGGCCCACCCGGTCCCCTTTGGCCTTGCCCCCCCCTCCCCCGCGGCGACACTCTGCGCCTCTCCGCTCCGGGCCGAGTGCCCTCCGAGCAGCAACCCGCCCCCAGCGGAGCTGCCGGGGGCTGCCCCCGCGCGGCACTCCACCAGCTGAGCGCTGGGTGGGCCGCCCGGGGGGGCCCTTCCCCAGGAGCAGACAGGGCAGGCGCCTCCCGCGAAACGTCGGGCGTCACCCCCCCCCCCTGGCCCCTGGCCGTGGGGAGGGCCACCGCGCGGCAGACGCTGCTGCCCGCGGTCTGAAGCGAGGCCGCGCCATGCGGCCCGGCCGGCCGCGGCGCCGCGCGAGACGGCGTCGTCAAGCGGCTCGGAGAAGGAAGGAAGGGGGCGAGGAAGAAACGAGGACGAGGAGGAGGGGGGCGACGAGGAAGGGCAGAAAAAAGGATAATTCGAAGCAGCAGAAGCTACCCGGCGACGAAGACGACGGCGAGAAGAGGAGCAGAAGAAGGAGCACGGAGGCAATGCGAGGAGGATCAGAGGGTGGAGAAGGCGAGGAAGAGGAGAAGGAGGAGGAGGAGGAGGAGGAGGAGGAGAAGGAGGGCGGAGGAGGAGGAGGAGAGGAGGAGGAGAGGAGGAGGAGAGGAGGAGGAGGAGGAGGAGGAGGGGAAGGAGCAGGAGGAGAGGGTGGAGCAGGAGGAGCAGGAGGAGGATGGGATGGGATGGGGCGTTCGCAAAGCGATGTAACACGGCACGCAGACCTTCCCGACGAACCAGACGACCAAGTAGGACACGTCGAGGAACCCGGGTATGCCGGCGCTGACCACGAGCTGAAATGAGAAGTACGGGAACGGCAATAGGCAGATACCACGTGTGAGTCCCTCACTCCAGACCTAAGAATACCAGAGAACTGAAGCTTCACTCCTTCCCACCAACCACGCTGGAACGAAAAACGAAATAAGTGAGCCCATGATAGGAGAGACGGCTAAGCCGAAACGAAGACTGCTCGATGCGGCCCTTATTCATTGGACCGAAACCATTGGTCATCGGGCAACCCCATATCCTGGAAAAATACGAGATCGCAGCCTCCGCAGGCGGCCTCGCCCCCAGCCAACCGTAGGAACACTATGACAAAAGTCTGAAGCACCAGGACACTATGCGAGGCGCCAAATCTCTGGCCAGTAGCTGTAGCACAATTTATGGTGAAGCGCTCGCCCAGTGCGGCACTGAAAGTGAGGGCGCTCCGAGGGGACCGCGCATAAACCAGACAAGAAAATACCAGTGTATGCGCTAGCCCATGGCTGGAGTGCAAGAGACGATGCGCCGAGGGGACCGCGCCTGCCGTTGTTCGCCCTTATCGCACGTGCTGAGTTCAGCGTTGTAGCTGACGACTGCAGGCACACACCATGCCTTCTCGCACTTGCTGATCCGAGCGATGTAGCTGATGGCGCCCCCTTTATCGAACGAGCCACTCCACCACCTCTACGTTCGGGATTCAAACCGACGTACTTGCTGTAGCACGGGTCTGTGACTATGAACGCGTTGTTGCCGATGGTCGCATTGTAGCCCAATACATCACCGACGCCGCCCGCCGTCACAAAGAACCCTACCCAGCAAAGCAGCAAATCACCAGAATACCGAAACATGATCGGGTTCGCTCCGCTTGGCCACCAGGAAAGCTGTCACAGAGGGAGAAGGAGGGAAGAGGGCGATGAGCACGGGGAGGGGAGGAGCAGGAAGAGGAGCAAGCAGGAGGAGGAGGGGGCAACGGGAGGAGGAAGAGGAGGAATGGACGGGGGGAGAAGAACGAACAAAAACGAACAAACAAAAAACACCGATGACGACGACAACGACGACGACGACCACCACGACGAGGAGCAGCAGCAGCAGCAGCAGCAGCAGCAGCAGCAGCAGCAGCAGCGGCAGGAGGCAGCCGCGCGCCGCCCGCCGGGGCGCCCCCCCCCCACGAGAGAAAGAGACGAAGCGGGGGGGGGGCCGGCGGGCGCCCTCCTCGACCAGCTGGCGCTCTTCCCGGGCGGGACCGGGGGCGGGCGCTGTCCTTTGGTCGGGGGCGG